GGAGAGAGGAAAGTGAGAGAGGAGAGAGGAAAGTGAGAGGGAGAGAGGAAAGTGAGAGAGGAGAGAGGAAAGTGAGAGAGAGAGAGAGGAAAGTGAGAGAGAGAGAGAGAGAGAGAGAGGGGAATTCCCAGAAATCAAGTGATTTACAGAAAAACAACAAAATGGAGATTGTTCATAAAATGGAGTTCACAAGATGGAGTCAGTTTGGTTCTCACACCACCTCTGTACTCCTCATGGTGGAGATAAAGATACTAGTAGTATCTACTTCACAGGCTGGTAGTGAGGGTCAAGTAAGATAAGGAGGGAAGAGGGTGGCATTTTCTGACTCTTAAAGCCAGTATCTTTTCTAGTATTTGAAGGGTTATCACTGGCACACAAGAGGTGGCTCCTACATCCCATAGGATTATAGATTTAGGGTTAGAGGGGGTCACAGCTTCACAGCTGGCAGGGACATAAGGGGTCATCTAGTGCCAATTCTTAATTGTGCAAATCAGGCAAGGGAGTCCAGATTGGGAAAAGTCCCGCTGCTATTTAAGCAGCAGCAGACCTGGCATTTAAACACAAGTTCTCTGACTACCCAAAGCCAGTGTGTTTTCAAATATCTGGAGGGCTGTCGCACGTGAGAAGGATTGGAGTTCTGCTTGATGCTCCCCAGATAGATGGTAAACTCTTTGAGGGCAGGGACTGTCTAATCCTTGTCTTTTTATTCCACACTATTTGATTGATTGACCTCAGAGGGTAAGCCTGGGGGTAATGGGAACGTGGAGGTGGAAGAGGGGGAGAGAGGCTAGTGTTGGTTATACAATTCCAGTCCCAAAGCCCATTGGCATGGGACTTTCTCCTCATAGGTGATCAACTCCGCCTCATCCTTGCTTAGGCATGGCATTGATCTGCACCAATGAAGGGCAAGTCCCATACCAATGGGCTTTGCGGCTAGGGTTACATTCAGATGGAAGAAAAAAACATCCTAACAAAGTAGCTGTCTGGAAGCTTGGGACATAATGAGCTCTCCCATCAGTGAGAGAATTTCAAGCAAAAGCAGGATGTTCACTTACTTTTACGTTGTAGGGGGGATTTCTTGTTCAAGGTTGGACTAAATCCCGCATGGATTCCATGACTCACTATGTCAATGTGAGATGTTGTTATTATTTGCGATCTTTCAGCATCTCCGCTTCCTCATCAATTAAAGGAAAGTTTTGGACTGAGAAGCACCTTGCATGGTAGAGTAGAAGGACTCTTCTTGTCTGTCCTTTGTTCCCGAAGAAGACAGACGACAACAGGAGGGTGATGTCTTGACTTGTGAGTGAATTGGATTTAAGTGAGAAGGAACCTATGGATTTGCTGTAGGTCACTTGGGCTCGAGTCTCAGCACTACGACCTACTGTCTCTGTGCCATTGCAAACCTTTGATTGAGTGAAAATTGTGAGATACAAAGAAAGGGCAATAGCTTCTGATTTGGGCCACCTCTCATTATTCTTTTGTTCCCAGATGGGGCCATTGTCAGTTAGCTCTGTTACTCTCAACTGTCTGCCCCTCCCCAAACCAATTGCCCAACTCCTTTGCGATGCCAGCAGCAAGCCTGCAGCTGCCTCCAAATCCTCGGGCTCAGGACGGGGTGAGGGGAATAGTTGGAATGAAGCCACATTCACCAAGCAGCCAGTGCTCCGTGCCAAGCATTCGGCTCAATGAGCTTCCTTGTCACAGGCGGGATGGAGATGGGGGTGGGTAGTGGGGAGGATTCTGATTCTATCCCCTCTGCAGTCCTGCTTTCCTCAACTGACCTCCTATTTCAGCCTTTGATTGGATTCCTCATTGTGCCAAAGGCAACCCATGCTTGAAAGTGGTCACCAAGGGGCAGGGAGCTCCGGGGCACCACGGGACAAAGCAGTTTCTGATGCACACATCCTGCAGCGCAGCTGTGGCCGCCAAAGAGCTGACGCTGGCTAATAGGAGTGCTCAAGTCCCACCTGCTTTCATTTCTGCTTCTTTGTTTTAATCAAAGTTC